ACCTGGCCATTGAGCGAATGGTTTCAGACATGAATCAGGCCTTTCAGCAGCAGATTAAAAGCGACGATGTCGACACGTGAACAGCGCTGCAGAGTGGACAGAAATAGAGGTGTTTTCACAGACACACCAGACAGGGTCCAGATCTTGGAAGAAAACAGTAAAACAATTACTGATAATTATTGGTATATTTTAAGGAATGTTCAATTTACGTAATGGAAAATTATGTTAACTGCTATGGGATGAATGTTGTTTAATTAAGGTTGATCGACTTGGTGATTTATTGTCTTTGAATTATTATTTTTTTTCTATTTTGGAATAGCCTGACATATTTTTATGATCTTGAGAAACAACATTTATTTAACGAGGGAACAAAACTATACAGCAAACTCAGAGATTTACATACCTTCCCTTAGCGAAGCTATTGCAAAGTTTGCATAAAAGATGGAGCAAGTTGCGATACTGGTAACAACTTACTTTATGGGCTCTTTACTTTTTTTAAAATTTCTTGTAGTTACATACTACAAATACGTTATGCATTACGTCAAGTTTTATGATTGCAACCCCCCCCCCCTCCTTTCCCGTAAAACATAAAATTATGATTATGTCTATATAAGTAAACAAATTTAAAAAACATTCTCAAATGTAATTATGAGATTTCCGTCCGAATGTAACTCCACGGACCACCATTTGGGGAACGCCCGCTGTAAACGGCTTCAAAGATGGCTGCGGTAAATCCTAGGATGGGTGGCACGCGGCTTGCGTACAGCACTATGGCTGCCCGTGTTTAGGATGGGTGGCACGCAGCTTGCGTACAGCACTATGGCTGCCCGTGTTTAGGATGGGTGGCACGCAGCTTGCGTACAGCACTATGGCTGCCCGTGCTTAGGATGGGTGGCACGCGGCTTGCGTACATCACTATGGTTGCCCGTGTTTAGGATGGGTGGCACGCAGCTTGCTGATGACCCTACCAAAAATATTCAACACTGTGGAGAGAGGAAAATGGTAATTAAAGTTACTGGAAAATGTCGTAGAAGTTTTTATATAAACTTGCCTGAAGTTTAGCCAACTCTTCGGCCAAGTAAAAGTAAATCAAATGATCAGATATATTGCTATCTCAACCACAGAGCAAGCAAATGAGGAATGATCGAGGCCCTATGTAAAAAAAAAAAAATGTCTTACACTTTGATGTTGAATTTGAAGTGTTACAAAATGACTTTGAAAAGGTGATCTGTACAAAGCTAGAAAAAAAGCTAGTGCAATTTAAACTGAATTATTCGCTGACTGGGCAAATTGTTGTCGGCTGTTGAGACCATGGGAGCATGTACTTCGATGGTTGGCGTCAAACACGATGAAGTAAACAAATTTTTTTTGTCTTTGTTTTAAAGAATGGGACCAATATCATGCGATTTATCTCACACCGCGCAGATATGAAAAGCTAGAGCCTTCCAACTCTTTCCCGAAATGCCAATAACATGCAGTGGCGCCATGACGTCTATGGAGGACCACTTCAAACAACAGAGTTCTGAAAAGTGAGCGAACGCTACAAAAGGTTGAAGGTGTTTTATGCCAATATGCAAAAGCGAAACTAAGCGGATTTCAACGGAACATAGTCCTTGTAAGAAAATACTTCATAAGTGCCAGACGGGGACCTCATCTGCAGAAACTACAGCCTAGTTCACTGAAACAATACCCACCTGCTAATCGTATTATTATCTGGACCTCTCGGAGGTTACGGTCACAGGCGAGACCAACGTTGTATACAGAGCTGTAGGGCATTTCGTACCAGATGAGGCTTGATTGGTACGGATGTACTTTATTCCGTATCATAAAGAGCGATTAAGGCCGGCACTTAAGATCCAGAGAATCCAACAGCACTAGTGTTGATGAGAGCTAATGTAAATACTGGCAGGCATTTTGGTTTGGTGGGTTTTTTTTTCTGGCTGGAAATCTTTTCTGCTGTTAAGACCCGCTCTCAAATTGAAACAAATAATTCAGTTGTGAATATTACAGCTCTTCCCAAATTATTTATCAAAGACAATAACCCCATTGGAGACATCGTCTTCTATGTATGCAGAAAACCCTCAAGCCTCAGAGTTATATTACGAAATATTACGCGAGAAGCGCTATCAGAAACATCTTTGAGATAATTGCGCCTCAGTGAAGCTCTCATTCAAACAAACACAGAAAACAAACAAACTAATGCGCGTTCATGCTATACGTATGCTATTTAACAGTATTAACAAACCGAAATCAAGTTGACCACTATTACATGTTTAACACACTAACATCAGAATTATTATTATTATTATTTTAAATTCTTTATGAAATAAGGCTGTATTTTTTTTTTGCACCAAGAAGTATTGTCAGTAACAGGTAAAGTCATGGAACTCACTAGGAGTTCATTGCAAGCCATGGAACACTGATAATTATGTTTAGGGCAGTAAAAATAGTCAGTATGCTCCAAATTTCAGACGATCTGGCAGCACATTTTCCCCCCAGCGTTCATGCAATAAAAAAATGTCAGGTTTTATATTTTAAGTTTCGTGGGTTTTTTTTTAAACTATCTGTCCATTGTTTTGATAATCTTATTTCATAACTATTCCTTTTCAATTATCGAGCTACTTGCATTTTGTAAAGAAAAAAAAAAACGTATTTAACAGTCACTGTTCAATCCTTATTTCAAATTGTTCGTAGCTCTGGGGGCAGAAGGGGTGTGTCCGGGGGGGGGGGGGGTTTTTTTTTTTTTTTTGGGGGGGGGGTGTTTGTTTTTTGGGTGGGGGCGGCAAACATGTAGGCAAGCCCCGGCGAGATTACCCCTCGCTAAGCCCCCCCCCCCCGGGCTCTTTAGTCCTTACAGTACTCACCATGTGTATATTTGTGATATAAATTTTTAATGTCTCTGCTGCTGAACTCCTCATAATAAAAGCAAAAATGGAGGCCACGAGCGCCATTTTAACAATGTATAAATACTTAAATTATTTCATTTGGCTGTATCTATTAATTTGATGAATTACGGTACTTGTAAGTATTACCTGATCAGAACACAACTACCTCTAATTGCTGAATTATGCACTGTTGAATGGTTGACGTCAGCGTCTCTGAAAGTGTGTGCCATCATAGGACGCTGAGGACATTGTGTGTAATGTGTGTGCTACATGACGTTGGATTTTAATTTTAATCATTGATGTTCTGTTCAACTGATCTTACATTTCAATTCAGTGACAGTTCGTTCTGCTGCCACACACTCTTTTTTCTATTAAGCCGATCTTACAGTTTGAATTCAGTGACAGTTCTTTGTGCTGCCACACAATTTTGTTTTACTAAACTGATCTTCTGGTTTGAATTCAGTGACAGCTCATGCTGCTGCCACACAATCTTTTGTTCTATTAACCCCGATCTTACAGTTTGAGTTCAGTAACAGTTCATTCTACTGCCATAAATAAATTTTCACATTGTCCTACCAACGAAAAAGTAGGTCATACATTAATGCAGACAGAATGCTGTGAATGCAAACTAAATTTTAAAAAAAAAAAAAATCTTTGGCCAATTATTTTTAATTAAAGCTTTGCTTGTATACCAATCACTGGTTATTTCATTATGTAACACTTCCCATAGAACTTTATTATCTTACCTATTAACATGTCTAGACATGTGAAAAAAAATTCAATAATTTGCTCTATTATTTCCTTGAGAGTAATTTCCCTTTTCCTTTCATTTCTGTGACATAAATAGCTTGTTTTATAGTTGAATAGTGTTGTAGACTCCATCAAGCCGATTGATGGATCTCATCTCATAAACAAATATCAGCCTGAGAGTGTCACTCTTTCCAGGGCTGGGGGTAGGTGGGGAGGGGAGGGAGAGAGAGAGGAGAAGAGAGGGTGGATGGATTGCTGTTGACAAAGGGGATTGGTTATCATTGTTCAAAATCTGAATTGATTATTCTTGATGCAATCCTCAGGTCAGATTTAATATTATTATAAGCTCATTCTTGAATTTTATTTTGTATCTGCATTAGGTTACAAAGTTCAAAGTTCCTGGTATGAGTTGCTAGTCAAAATGATGGACATGGGTTGGTGGCCTGGCCATTTCATAAAAATGAGTTTAGTCACTTTCATAAATGGATAATTAAATGATAAAAGTGATCATGTGTGTGTGTGTGTGTGTGTGTGTATATATATATATATATATATATGTATATATATATATGGCATACACTAATACATGATGAATTATGGTTCCTGGTTCCTTCGTTTATTTAAAAAGTAATTTATTCATTTTTGCTTTGTCTGTCTTTTTTTTTATCTAATAAATAATAAAATTTGATAGATGAAACCTCTTGAAAATTATCTTTAAAAATATATACAATATATATTTATTTAGTTATTTAGTTGCAACAAAAAATTGATAAACAATTACAGATTTTCCTGTCCCTATGTAGTGTTTAGTGTTCAAAGTTCATCGGCACATTTTTTATTTATTAATTATTTTACTTGTGTCATTCCATTATAAATTATTTACCCAAATATGTCAACTACACTCAAATATTGTCACCACATCTTGGTCTGGCACCACTGACGTATAAATATGTTCGTTTTTTTATTTTTAAATATGTGAACTAAAGATGGCAAGATAAGCATTTCACTTGTTTCATTTGTTGACTTCAATTTTATTTTACAATAAATCTAAGCGTAAGAATGTCAAAGTCAATTTTTAACAGTTTACCATTTAACACAGTCAGACATTTTCATTATTTTACCTTATGCACACAAAAAAAGGGGAGACAGTCAAAATTAATTGAAAACATGTTTAAGATTATTCATAAATGGGATGCTTGATATGATAATGCCTTTCAGGATGTATATAAAAAAAAATGTATGTACAATTTTGGATACATTTGCAACATTTTGTTTTAATAGAAACTTGCTTATATTATTTCTGTTTTGTTTCATTTCATTGTAATTCATGATTTAATTGTAAAAAGAAAAATGGATCAAATAAAAGTCAAGGTTATTTATAATATACTAATGTGACTATTTTTCTCTTTTATCTGCCTGAAATTAACTTTATAATTGGTAAGAACACCCAACAGCAATCATTGGTCCTTGAAAGTATTAAAAGTAAACATATATAAAAAATCAAAACAAAAACATTTTACATTTCTTTTCATGAAGTAAAACATTGACTATTGTAGTGCAACAATTGTTGGTTCTGCACACCATTTATTACAACATTCAACATGTGATTGTATTTACAAAAAATGTATTAGCATTTGAACAGGAAAAATGGATAGCGTAAATCTGAATCAATAACTTAAATATTTATCATTTACAAGGCTATTTATAGAACTAATAGCATTGCAAAACTCTTTGCCACAACATTGAGAGCACTTGAATTATCATTGCATAACCCAAAACCTTCGCTACAAGATGTTCATTTGCAGCATGCCTCATCTAATACATCTTCAACAGACTTGACATTCATCCACAGTTGGGTCAAGGGCAATACGGATTTTTAAAAGACAAACATACTTTTAGATTTGGGGGGGGTGTTGTAATTTTTTGTATCCCAACCATTTCACCGGCCCCGTTTGGTCATGGCCCAAAACTGATTTTTAAAAGAAAAACATAATTTTACACTTCTGTTTCACTCCCAGAATGACCAAAAAACAAACTTTATTATTGCATTTCAGTTTGCTACTCTACCCTACTGAGAAAATATAAAATAAAAGGTGTAATACCAACTCAAAGATACAGAGATTCCATTGTTACCAATTCTTCTTAAATAAACTGAAAAAGTTTTTTAAAAAGTTTTTAAAAAAGTTTTTTTTACATATTTGTGGCATAAAATTTTGTAAGTAATAATTGTTTCCAGAACATTTTTATTTCTAAGAAGTTCTGAGCAAATATATTTTAAAAACAACTCAAAACAGAAAACATTAAAATATTAAATAATCTAAAAAGAAGTATTCATTAATTTATCAATTTCATCTAAAGGGTCAAGATACACAGTGGTCTTTCACAACAATTTAAAACTAACTTTTCAATCATGGCAAGGAGAAATATCTGTTTTAACTCCTTGCTCTTGTAGCAATCAAGCACATTCTGCACTCTCTTCAATGCCAAGGTTTACATTCATTGCGTTATGATAAACACTGAACTATTTTACACTTGAAATTCAATTTGTTTTTTATCTCTTATTTGGTCATTACTTTTGAAAAATGGTGACATTTCTTACAGTTCACAGCCTTCATCAAGAATCCAGCGCATTCACTACTTTACACTGGGGTTGACATCAACAAAATAGGGGTGTTGGAGACTGTCTTCTGCAGACATCCGGTCAGGTGGATAACAGACTAACAGTTTCTGTGAGGAAAAACAATTAAGTTAAGAACTGGGATTTGGCACTGTTATGAGAAGGTTGGATCAGATCTTAAGTTTTACAATTTAACAAATATGTCAAATACTTTTAAAAATTAAGTAACATTAACAAAGAATCATTGACTCATTTGTCCTCAGAATAACACTATTATTTATAATTTTACATACTTGATATTACTACTTTATACAAATCCAAGTGTCAACCATATTTGTCTTTTGGGTATACAGACAATTTCTTAGGAATTCCATTCTTAGATAAGACCAACCAAAATGCAGTTATGTCTAAAGTCATTTCTGGAGCTAAAGAGTAATTAATACCTGGAGGAGATCCCTGCCTTTGGAGTTCAGTTTTGGGACTACTTGCTGCCATGTTGTACTCACATGATACATAGGGAAAGGCTGGAGGACAGAAATATTTGTCACATTAGAGTTAGAAATACTCTTTGGTTATTTAGCACTCACCAAAGGACATCAAGATTTTCAACAATTCAATTATATTATGTCACTGTTAGAAATAGTTTCAAAGGACTATTAGAATTTGTATAAAAAACCTCAGTATAAATGATCACTTTTAAAAAAAAATTCTTATTTAGATTTATTTAGAAGCCTGTAAATAAGCTAAAACTAAAATGAATTTGTATAACCAGAAATAAATAAGAATTGAATACATTAATGATAATTTAACACATGTATCATCATGACTTTGGTTATTTCATTCATTGTGATCTTTTTTTTTTTTTTTTTTTTTTTTTTTTTTTTTTTTTTTTTTTTTGGTAAAAATCTGATGACAAAAATTAAACTTTGTTATAGCAGAGAATGTTTTACAGGTGGGAGACTACCACTAAAAGAAAATTTAAAAAATACAAAAAAATTACTGAAACATAAATCTTACAATCATTGTATTTAGTTGAGGCCAAAGGTCAATGGATCAGGATAATGATTTCATTATTAATTGCATCATTTAAGGTCGAGATGGGAAAAAAGAAAAACTTATTTTTTTATGAGTGTATTAATGTTAAATTCATATTAACTTAAGACATTACCCTATAATTAGGAAGTTGAGTAAGCCCTGGCCAGGTGTCCTCTGTAGGTGTGCCTAAAAGTCTGGAGCTTCGGTTAAGGTAACAATAGGTGATGTTGTTTCATAAGTTAACTGTCTTCTTCATTTAAAATGTCAGATACCTTATGGAATGTAAATTGACCATTGCCTGTCCAATATTGGTTATCCACTGTTTAATAATTAATTAGCCTGGCTTACATTTTTCACATGCAGAATTTCTACTTAAACTTTGTCAAAAAATGGATCAACTTCATTCTCACTAATAATATGAAGAATTGCTTATACGAAATACAGTGGACCTGCTTATCTCGACCTCGGTTAACTGGCCAACCCTGTTATGTTAACGTTTTTGAACTGGAACTGCCAAAGTCTCTCTTTGTCTTAGCATTTTCTCCGTTATGTCGATTCTTTTAAGTTGCCGAACCCTGATATCTCAAGCACAAAAGGCGGCCGAATTTGCCACTTAACCTCGGTTAAGTGATCCCCTTGACAAATCACTGGCTTTTGAACTCCACAAGAAGAAATATCAAACAACAAGTAAACAAGTTTTCATAATTAAAAATAATTATTTCTCAAAATACAGGACTTTTCTTTTAGAATGAAGCTAGAAGTAATTTAAATAAATTTTTTAAATTCGAGGTTTAAAAACCCAGTAGAGTCCATATTATAAATGATCATAATTTGCCGTGTGGAAAACATTGTCATGGGCAGCCATTCACTGTCACTCACATAATGGCTGTGCCATGGTACTACGTCAGAGTTTCCTTGATAAGAGTATGCAGTGTGCAAAAGTCATTAAACCATTGTCAGGGAAAGCTTTATTTAAATAGTTATGTGCCAAATTAAAAAAAAAAAAAGTAGTCCCTAAATAGATTTTAGTAATAAGGAGATGTGTTGCCTTATCTAAACTATATAGTCATTGCGCCATATCTCGATCGTGGGTTATCACGACGCCGAGGCCATCGACATAATTTGCATCTTTTTTTTTTAGGACTCAATTGAAAGAAAGAAGAATAGATGGCTAACAAACAATAAATGGTCATAGTTGCAAAGGATATTTAAATATTCTCTTTAATTGGTCATCATCATCATTTCCTGGAAAAAGTGGTCTTCCAGCATTGGCTAATTCTGGAACATTAAAACAAAAATAACAGATGTTATGTAGACAAATGATTACTTGGTTCAATAAAGTTAAAATAATTGCCCAATAAAAAGATAACCTTTGCCCCATAAATAAATAAGTTGGTGAGAGATAGAAAAACTGGAATGAATAATTTGTTTTACACCATAAATCAAGTAATGAAATAAAATTGTACCTGCAAAAATGCATCCTGCTGACCACATATCAATGGATGTTGAGTACATTTTTGCACCAAATAAAACATCTGGAGGGCGATACCACAATGTGACTACCTGATAATTCATATTTTAAAAACATCTTAGAGGGTCATGCAATATATTTTGTAATGTGAAACTTTTCCCACATGATTTTATTATAAATGAAAACACAAGTTTCAGTTTCAAAATGTAAAAATTTACAAATACTTGTGTTTAAAAAATCTATAAACTACCCATTTAAATACATTAATTATAAAAAAAAAACTATTAGATATATAACTTTTTAGTTGTTTTGGAGATGAGATCAAGATTGCAATTGGCTAGAAGACAAGGTTTTGGAAAATGAGACAGAGCAAATCCAGACTATCATCTCATTAGGTATGGCCCCAAAGCTGAGAATGTATTTTACATGGTTAAACTGCTAGAATATACAGATATGACCAAAAGCTTGGCACCAAACACATCCCTCCCACTTCCTCAAACCAGTCACTGTTCCCCCTCCCCAAACTAGATGCCGCCCAACCACTATACTTGTAACATGATTCCTTCACAGTATTCTTAGAATTAAGATGAGGAAATCATTATATAAGATGAGGGAATGAGTTTTGATTACATTGCACATATTCCTTTTCAACATATAATTAAACATTCGGATTTTGAAAACAACTAGATCCATTTACACCGAAGACGTTTTAAGTATTTCTCAAGTGCAAAAATCAGCCATAAAAATATAATAAAACCTCTCTTCCTTTAAAAGACAATATTGACTTTACGAGTGATTATTTGATTTAATAATAGCCATGGTTGCTGGCTGATGAATTCTGACCATCTCAAAAAAACATAACAGAACATGTATTCCATTTCATCCTCAGCATTAAAAACCAGTAAATTTTTCTTCTCCCCTGCTCTATTAATAAACTTTGCCCTCTGGCATGCAGCACTTAAGGGTTTAGTATTTGGTTCTATACAAAAATAAGAATTGTCCATCTCTCTCAGCCATACTGTCAAATATTTACAAAACTTGATGATAGTTTTCTCGTATCCACTAACCTCTGCGGAGTAAAACCTCACAGGAAATCCAAATGCTCTTGCAAGTCCAAAGTCAGCCAACTTCAGTTCACCATTCTAATACATGGAGACACAGAAGCAGCATGAGCAACAAATGACTCTTTCACATATTTAATTTGTCCAATCATTATTGAGTGAAATACTTAAACTTATAAATAAATTGCAAGTGGAACATTATTTAATAAGATTATTCAGAAAAAAAAATAAAACAAGCGCATTACTAACTCCTCAACTGCACATTAACAATTAAATTGAATAAAACGACAATTACATGCAAATTCATTTTTTTTTAAAAACTGCTTCAACGAATATATGTTAGACATAGAACTCTACACATTGAATCACATATAACATAAACGTTTTATTTTGTTTAAATTTATTATTTTATCTCCAGACAATAAAGAGATGTCAAAATATTTCAAAATTCAAACCCTTAATAGACTTGACAAATTTTTTAATATAGATCTCACCTTATTTATTAATAAATTTTGTGGTTTGAGATCTCTGTGAAGAACATTGTTACTGTGACAAAAGGCTATTCCTCTCAATAATTGACACATGAATGACTGAAATCAAATTTTTTAAAATAGAACTAAAAATCTGGAACTGTAAATAACTGAATCTTATTTGTCCTAATGAAAAAGAATATTAAAAAATAATTAGGAAGAAACTGTATGACTTTGATGCAGGTGTTAGGGTGTATTTATTTTGTATGATGTTTAAGAAATCAAGGTCAGGATACGAGTAAAAATATTTTTAAGAGAATGAGAACAAACATTTGGTTAACTTCCACCTACAATGGTAAAGAAAGGGAAAAGAATTTTAAATAAAATATTTATTTATATACAAATCAATGTAACCTTTACCTTTACAACATCAGGATCAATTTCTCCATTACAAGCATCAAAATATTTCTTGAGATCTTGATCACAGTATTCAAAGACAAGAGTAAGCTTCCTTTCACTATGTACCACATCATGTAATCTTAAACATTATAAAACTGTATAATCACAAATATTTTTTTTTTTCAATTAAGATAAACACTCTTTTATTGATATAAATTTAATGGAAATTTTTTTGGCTTATATTCCTTATATTTATTTTAGCATATTAAATTTTTTAAAAAGTAACAATTATTTTTAATCATCTTGGAAACACTGAATGAAACATCTGAATTTTAAAAATTAAAAATATGAAATCTTTTATTTTTTAAATCCATGATTCAATAAGTAAGGCGCATATTTTATTAACTTGATTGCTTAAGTATTTCAAAAAGGATATTTATTTATTTTCTTTTGATAAACAGCGTCAATTAAAGATAAAATTATGCTCTATTATTAGCACAATGCCAAAATTTATTTTTAAAAATTAATTTAATTAGCAGTATTTAATACCTCACAACATTTTTGTGCTTCAACTCTTTCAGCAAACATATTTCTCTAAGAGCAGAACTCGGAACTCCCTGGAAACAAACAATATGGTATGTCTAGATTAGGTTTGCACTGTTAAATCGACAGATGATTGCTTATCAACCCATGTGGCATTGACAATTAATTGGCATCAGCAATTTTAAAACGGATAAAATCATCTGATTGGCTTTAGGGTATCAGAAAATGCTAACCAGATATAAGCTTTAAATTCTAAATGATTAAATTATTTTATTAAATTTGTAAAAATATTGATATATGTAAGATTTTGAATGGCTGTTTTGGCATCCAACTTGTATTTTTTCCCCTCAACATGTCCATTTTTGTTTGTTTTTCTTATTTTTAGATGTTTTTAATGTATTTTTTAGTTGTAAAATTTTTTTGAGTAAATGATGAAAGAATGATAAAGAGCGTTGTGTGTACACTCTTTCCAAATTCATAAATGTTAATGAATTGTTAATGCTTGAAACAAGTATAGATTAGGTATACCTCATCATCATCATCAAGTCGAACACGCTTCAGAGCAACGATTTCCAAAGTTTCACGATTTTTTGCCTTGAAGACTGTACCATAAGTGCCTGTGAGAAATGTTAAAGATGAATGCAGATATTATCATTATATATAATGAGAAGATAAGAATGTTACACTGTAATATAACAAATTATCTCCACTTTAGCTCAGATAAAATATAAAAATTAAGCTCAATTTTTATGGAAGATATTCACCAAAGTTCTTAACTTTAGGGTAATTGAGCTCAAATCATTTATATAGAAGATAAAAAACAACAACATTATAATATTTAATTAAGCAATTAAACATTTATGGAATGCATTATCTACTAATAATCTAGATACTAATATATAGTTTACCTTCTCCAATTTTCTCAAGTTTTTCATATTTCTGCATTCTTTTTTTAGTTCAGATTCAATTGCAGTTACTTCTTTATTATTAAGTAGATATATATATTCACTGAAATATACCTGCTAAAATAGATAATGTAAAATCAATATTACCACGGTAGTATAGAATACATTTAAAAGAGCACACTTATCTTTCAAAATAAATTAAATAGTGATGATTTAAATTATTACGTTAAAAAATAATCTAAATCAATGCTGCAGGATAAATTATTTCATTGTCAAATAGGTGCAATGGTTTTTTTTGTTTTGTTAATTTAGAAAGTCATTTTAAAATACATTTTTAAAGTTGAAAATGAAGTGTCTGTATGATTATTTTTTAACTTGGAGAGATGATAATAATTTTGTTTTTAAATATCCTATCAAACTATCTCACCCTAGTATAACAAATTTGTTGCAAGTAGGCCCTTAAATCAACATTTCAACAAAAAAGATTTTGGAGTGGTTCTTACAGAGCTACAATTTGGGCATAGCTTCCATTCATTTTTCTATTAATAATACACTACTGGGTATTACATAATAAGTTAAATATATTAAAATTATTTCTTTGATACTTGTTAATTTCATTAGACAATGCTATGGTTCCAATTTATTTAAAATGTGTATTTTATTCAGAGAAATAATGGGATCATGTAGCCTACAATAATTTATAAAAGTGCAGAGATAGTTGGAATAGTCCTATTAACTGAACTAAATCTATGATATTTTGTAAAAATACTAACCAATGATCGTGTGTTATTCACTCAGGCTTAATTTCATTGATACATTACTTCATTATACATAAATTTCACCCTTGTTTGTTGTTTTACATACATACGAATGGGGAAACAAAGCTTAAGGTCAGTGCAAAATTAATCATAGTTCTTTGATTGTGTCTCTCACATATGCGGGAGGACCAGCCACGATCTACAATTGCACCTTTGTCTTGTTTCAGTTGTGGCTTTTTTTACATACCACGCACCACAATTGTGGACATTCATGAGGTATTTTGACATTTTTTTTAGATTCAGTTGTAGCCTGATAACAATGGCGTGTTGTCAGCAAAAGGGCAGAATCAGAAAGTGTTGAATTTATTGCCCTGTGCATTGCCACAAAAACAAATTGAGCCCTCAAAAACTCCAGTCTTTCCTGGAGTCATTGCAGAAGCAGAATAAACAAAATAGGCCCATATAAAACTAAGGCTGTTGACAGTGTTGATGAGAAGGGTGAAAAGCGCCCTGCCCTAGGAATATTTTGCTATGAGCCTAGCTCAATGTGCCTTATGCATGATATTATCATATAATTATGTGCCTTATGACTAATGCATGATATTATGTGCTGGGCAGAGCAAAATACTAGGCACTTGGTAAGCATAATCGGGGATTGATAAATAAAAGCAAAATTCATCCTAAGGCAGGCGAAGGATAATTCATGATAATGTTGCCGATGGGCACAGTGGCAGGTACAAAAAACTAAATACTCAATAAATACTAAACTAAAAAAAATGAATGCATCAATGAAAATGAATGGCATCAACAGTGTTGACTGTTGACAACACTATCCACTGAATCTGATCGTAAAAAAAAATAAGCATAATACTAATATTACTAATAACTAATAATTACTAAGTTACTAATACAAGTGCCAGCAGTAGCACAATGCACATGAAACAAAGCGAAATTTGGGTAGTAAAATACCATCTTTTTGTTGGAATACAACAATTTAACAAATTTTACGTGTTGAAAAGTTACATTTTCATGAATCTTTTGTCTTTTACGGAGCCATTGTGATAAATAAAGGATAACTCTTCTGTCTTCAAAGATACGTTATAAAAGTTGCCCAATTGGTTTGTCATGATTAAAATAACATTTATTTATTTTATAACTTTACTAGCCGCATTGCATGGGATTGCATTTGGAAAAAAACAATTTGCAGCAGTACTACTACAGCCTTTAATTTAAATTGATGTTAAGCGAAATTTTAATTTAAAAAAAAAAAAAAAACAGCACCGCTATAGTAACAAAAAAAAAATTAATTAATTTCACTCCTATAAAAAAACATATAATAATTTTTGTAAATCTTTATTTCCTTGATGGGATACCGGTGGGATTTGGATACGTTTTCCGATGACATCCCGTTGCCCGGAGGGATCATGATGGGATTTTGATCCCGGTTGGATTCCGAACCTGTCGGGATCCCGTTTTGCGGTAGGATCCCGATCCCTATGGATCCCAATCTCGGTGGGATCCCGGTCCTGTTGGGATCCTGATACCGGTGAGATCCCTGTACCTGTGGGTTCCGGATCCCGGTGGGATCCCGTTTTCTAGTGGAATCACGTTTCCCGATGGGATCCTGTTTCCCGATTAGGTCCAGTTACCTGATGGGATCGCGTTACTTTGACTATTTTTTAGCGCCCTTTGTCTTTGTGAACTAAATGGGATTTTATAGTTTAATTCACTATAAAACTCCTTTCTAAGGACCATTTTTGTCGCCATCTGATTTTCGCGCCTGTTGCTTTCCGTCCCATTCTCATAGCCCTGCTCAAGGGCCACGAGCGCCCAGGGCGAGGCAGCTTATTTCTGGGAACCACTCGGCGCGCCGACTGCCCACGGTGAAAACCCGTGTCACATTTTGTTTAGTAACGTAACATCATAATTATATAAAGATTATTGGATTTTTTTAAATTTTTTTTTAGGGGGGGGGGGGGGGGGAAAGGTTTTTGTAGGTTAAACAATTCTGAGTGGGCGGGCCTAATATTTTTCATAAAGATGTGTTTTTTTTGTATTTTTTAAATAACATAAATTGAAAATTTGACTTTTGCGTACGTAATATGTAGTTGCCCCCTTCTCGCGTTTGTTGGCTTTGGTGCTGCATGTCGTAATTGTGTGACATAATTATTAAAATTTCTTACGGTTGAACCGCGGCGAGAACACGGAGAAAACTAGAGAATGTATTCTCAACTGTTCCACGCAGCAATATTAGATTTCGACATGTTTATAGGATCTGGGGGAGGGGGGGGGGCTTGGAAACCTATTTTGTAGTAGTTATGTGTTCTATGTAGGCAACTGTGTGTTTATTTATTTACTATTAAGATAATGTAGTGTGCGATTTTGTTTAAGGAGAAAAATTATAGATCGGCCCTGAATAGATTGTACATTATTAATTTTAATTTTAAATGCCGCGATATTTCAGTTTGGACTATGAAGTGTGTTGCTACCAAGCTAGACCTTTAACCATCAATTCACATACAACCTATGGGCTGTTGAAGCCTATTGATATGTATATGGCCAAGCTTATACAAAGGAAAATGAAATGGGGTCCACGGCCAAAAGGAGTGGATATGATGAGTTCAGCATTTAAATATGGATAATCAAGTCTTGATTATCCTTTTTTAAATTTAGTGTGTACTAAGATTGTTCAAGATCCATCTATTCATTTAGGTGGATTTGATGTTAATTTTATTTATATAGCTCATATAAGAAAAAAAAAAAAAAAAAAAAAAAAAAAAAAAAAAACAAGGGCTCCTGCCTCCAAGCAGAATGTTATTAAAAGTTCATAACCCCCAGGAGTTCCTTCCGGATAATGATGGACAAATGTGTCAAGTTTGGTCAAGATCCATTAATACACGTACAAGCCTTTGGGGAACAAACAAACAAACCCACAAATTTTCACTTCTATAAACCAGGTGTGTGTGTATATATATATATATATATATATATATATATATATATATATATATATATATATATATATATATATATATATATATATATCCTTGTATTTATAATGTTACAACTCTACCAGAATCGTGTATTTATAATGTTACAACTCTACCAGAACCTTGTATTTATAATGTTACAACTCTACCAGAACCTTGTATTTATAATGTTACAACTCTACCAGAACCTTGTATTTATAATGTTACAACTCTACCAGAACCTTGTATTTATAATGTTACAACTCTACCAGAACCTTGTATTTATAATGTTACAACTCTACCAGAACCTTGTATTTATAATGTTACAACTCTACCAGAACCTTGTATTTATAATGTTACAACTCTACCAGAATCGTGTATTTATAATGTTACAACTCTACCAGAACCTTGTATTTATAATGTCACAACTCTACCAGAACCTTGTATTTATAATGTTACAACTCTACCAGAATCGTGTATTTATAATGTTACAACTCTACCAGAACCTTGTATTTATAATGTTACAACTCTACCAGAACCTTGTATTTATAATGTTACAACTCTACTAGAACCTTGTATTTATAATGTTACAACTCTACCCGAACCTTGTATTTATAATGTTACAACTCTACCAGAATCGTGTATTTAAAATGTCACAACTCTACCCGAACCTTGTATTTATAATGTTACAACTCTACCAGAATCGTGTATTTAAAATGTCACAACTCTACCAGAACCTTGTATTTATAATGTTACAACTCTACCAGAACCTTGTATTTATAATTTTACAACTCTACTAGACATTTGAAATTAAACTACTATAACTTTACCAACCACGACCGCTTACACTTACAGCTATTCCTTCATTCCGGAAATTCCTTCTTAACTTGTGGTGAAAATTGTTGAATGCAATTTTTTGCCCATAATAGAACAATGGCATCAGCCTCCATTATACATCTTTTGTTTATGTCAATGTATTTATATTACACCAAAGCCAGCTTATGTCAAGAGCAATTCAATCAACGCATCTACTTTGTGGCGGTACCAATGTTTGATCTTTGACATGTGTAGCATCATTACATTTATTGTAACATGACATTTAGTTTAGTGTAACATCGTTATATTCCTTGTAACATTATTACATTCAGTGTAACATCATGAAATTTATTGTAACATGATATTTATTGTAATAAATGATGACTGTCTGGGATGATTGTCTACCATATTTTCCATTTCATGCATATTAGCTGTGTTGCTCACGGTTGAAATGGGTAGAAAGACTTTGCCATTGTATGCTTGTAATTAGTTTTTGTAGTGTTGCGTTTGTTTTAAATGTGGTAAATTATAGATTTGTTTTTTTGTTGACTTTGTACCGCGCTTCGAGCCTTTGGGGATGAAGCGTGTTTTTGAAATGAACTTTATTATTATTATTATTATTACATATATATATATGGGTAGATGGAATCGAATCAAATACAAACGAGTCCACCCGCCAAAGCAGCTCGAATTAAATGGAAATATTGCTGTTCATTGGAATAGATTTAAGCAAACATTGGAATGTAAAAACAGACAGTGGATTGAATACCAAGGGTGAAGGGGCGCTGTGCATGACTTTACTGCACGTGAAGGTCCAAGCTGCTTTTGACGTTATCTATACGACCCAGTGATTGTGTGATGTTGTTTTCATGTTGTGTGACTGGACATTGTCAGCTGTTTTCATGGATTTTTAAAAATTAAATGTGTGAATATCGGTGTGATTGGTCATGTCATGTGGGGTATAAAAATAATGTGGAAAGATAAATAAAAACCCGTTGTTACACCAACCAAAGACTTCAGTTGGTATTTTTTTTTAAAATGTATACATTTATTATTTTATGAGTTAACAGATATAGGCCAAACAATTATTTCTTGTTAAACTTATTTGTAGTGGATTTTTATTTTCAATCAATTACCACTATAAAACTATTCACGTTTGGAAAATAAGCACCTAATAATTTTTTGTTTATTTTTATCAAAACATGTAACATAAAATTTCAAGTAAAAGAAATAAATTGCCAACAAAAGAGTCTGATACATTAACAAATTTGGAGATTAAGAGTTAGGAAACAGTTCTTTAATTTAAATAAACATTTCTACTTCTGTCTATAATATAGGCCTATATAGTTATAACCAAAACAGATGTGTCAGTTCTTTAATTTATATGTCTATAAGTCTGTCTATAATCTACACTATATTAATGTAGGACTGGTGACAAAGCATAATAGAGAAAGAGGCAAGGCTACTCAACAACCCCAAAACAAATCCACAAACAAACCAACCAATACACCAAATAACAAACAAACAAATATGAATTTTTAAAAACAAATAAAACTTTAACTTAATTTATAAAGCATTAACAAGTAGAACAAATGTCTAATTAAAAAACAATGTAGAATGACTAAAAAATATTTCCGTAAAGTCAAACAACTAACGTAAGATAAGACTCATTTCTATTTCCGAAAAGTAAATCAACTAATGTAAGATATGACGCAATGCTAGAACCATAAAGTAAAGTCAATTAACTAATGTAAGATATGACTCAAGCTATTTCCATCAACTGAGGCAAGATATGACTCACTGTCATTTCCGTAATGTCATTCAACTAAAGTATAGGCTATATGATAAAATATTTTTTTTTTTAAATAATAAAACATTCAATTAACTTAATAAAACGTCTGAATATTAACAAATAAATTATTGGTCGTGATAAATTTAGACAATACAGAGAAATTAAATTTGAGACATTGAAAGACCTCTTTTATTTTATACTTTTAACGACATTAAGAAAGAAACAGATTCTACATTGAGTTTATCCGAAACAAAAAACATCAGCCATAATTTAAAGTTTGCATTCGTAACAAACCAGATGGTTATTCCTGCAATGACACTTCCCACAGCGGTCGGGACGACGTCATTATTGTTGTAGTTCTGTGAAAATAAATTATTTTAATTATCATTTAACGTTATTTTATCCAACAAATGTAATGGAAATAATTCTTTACATTATCATTATGTGTAACTAACGTGTAGCCT